TCATAGCAACTTCAGACATACCATCATCATCATCATCAACATCATCAAATAATTGCATATCATCAAGTAATTCCTTTCTTTTCTTTTCTTTTTTCTCTTTATCTTTTTTCAATTTATCCAAATATTCTCTAATCTCCCTTTTTATATCATCTGTAGCCTGTGGGCATGCTCTTACATTCCCATAAATTCCGGTTAAATGCTCTTTTTATCGAAAAATACCACCCATATAAGTATCTCCACAGAGCAAGCATATCACACAATTTCTATCTTTCGGATTTTTTAGTTTAGCATATTTCTAAGCCAGATCTTTGTTACTAGCAGATTGGGAAGAAGACATTGCCCCAAAAATAAGTATAACAGTATTATTGTACAAGAAGGAATAAACAGTTACTGACTCTGTGAAGTAGTGCTCGATTTCTTCACGGCCTCTGAAATCCCCAATTTCTTATCACAAATTCACCTTAACATCCCCAAATAAACAATAAAAGGCATAAAATGAACATCCAAGTATCAAACAACCGCCAAATCAAAGATATGGATGAAAAAAAAAATTTCGCCAAATTTTTTTTTTCCTTCAATTTGATGCAAAAAACGCCACAAAAGTGGCCGGAAATCTTCGATTAGGAGGTATAGTAGCCCCCCAAACAGTTTCCCTAAACATTGGAACAAAAAAAAGACCATTTTGCCCCTCAAGGGCAAAATCGAAAAAAAAATTCGTGGAAACAGATGCGAGCAAGATGCGGTCTAATGCGGCCATGATGCAGGATGCGGCCATGATGTGGCCTGATGCGGCGCATATGCGGCCGCATCTGTCAAAAGCGCATATGTGCTTGAACGGGATGCGGATGCGAGCGCATCCCGCATGATGCGGCTGCATTTTAAAACACTGTACCTACCATAAATCAACAGAAAAATATCGAGCACCATCCTTAAAAGAACTAAGTACTCCATCAAAATACAAAAGAAGAGCAAAAGAAAACTCAGCAAGAGACCTGCAGAATAAGATTATGCAGCAATTCGCCATTAATCACTTGTCGTGCATTCTAGAACTCAATCTCCTTTTCAGGGGGAGCAGTTAATTCTGAAGCCAAATCAAGAAACCCAAAACAGACCAAGATAAAAGTGAGGTTCGTAAGTGAGTTTGGTACCCAAAAAAAGGGGAATTTAGATAGAAGATCTCTCTTGAGAGTTAACAGATCAGGATCATGTTAAGGAAAGACATAGAGCTTAAAGAGGGAGGAAAGAGATTAGGGAGAGAGAGTGGAGCTCAGATTTTGGGGTAATTCAGAGAGAACTGAATTTACTTCATTTTTTTTCTTTTTTTGAAAAAAAACTGAATTCACTGACCTCCCCCTTGACTGGTACTGAGTTGCCTTTAGGACTTAAAAGAAAAGGTAAAGGGGGAGAAAGTCCGGCCACAAAGGAGTGAGGTCCTTTGCCGGAAAACGTATGGAGGGGAAGCATTGACATCTCCCTAATATTATTGGAGTTTAGTAAAGAATCCTTGATGTACCATAAATCGAATGTTTGATTTGGAAAAACATGGTATGTGTATAAGTTAAACATACAACATTACCAGTGACTGGTGGAAGGGTATTCTTGTCGTCTTGCTTAGTTTTGATGTGCAGCTCTGTGGGTTGTTTAAACTAAGGGTCAAGTGGCTATTTAAATGGGGGCAATCATAATGGAGTGATGATTGATATAGTCTTGAAATTGTTGATCAACTTTGTTCCCAATCAAGTGGATGAGATGGACACCAAGATGAATTTTAGCTATTACGAAACAAGAATATACTTCTTATTATTAATATCATAATTATATTTTTTTATATCTTAGTTTCTTTTCCCCATTCATATTTTAACCATCAAAATGTGAACTACCATAAATTCATCTGAAGTTTAATAGTTCAATGCACAAAGCTTTAAAATAATGAATGTACCATCCATCCAGGTTCTGGCCCCAGGGCAATTGCTGGCATACAACTCGCCTTACTCTAGAAAAATGAAAACAACAAATCAAAGGTTAGGAACAATCAAGCACCAAATGGAATATCGACAACCTAGCAACATCAAAATACCGCCGAAAATAGTATACCACAATTCATCAGAAGGTCATGCAACTATCAAAAGAAACCAAAAGGCCATGGACCTAAAGGAAGAAATAAACGAAAAACAACATACAAATAAACAAAACAGAATCATAGATAACAAAAGATCAAGATGGCAATAAATTTATCCCATTAGTGCCACTGAAACAGCAACATACTTCTTATTGAATTTTTAAGAAAACCCTAGTTGTCAGAAGTTTTGTTATCATATTATTACTCAAATTGTACAGTCCTTTGTGGCCCTTAGAGTCATTTTGGCACTTGTGAGCAGCATAACTTTCCAGGAAAGATATAATGTTGTTAACATCAACCCCACTGAGGAATCATTAGCTGGCAATAAGTTACAGAAGAACACCCTGAGAGGTGTGCTCTCCTCTCAAATTTGAGCAAGGTATATATCCATAGCTAGGAAAAAGAAGATGAAGAAGACAAAGAATGCAAACAAGAAAAGAGGAGGTTGAAATAGACAAAGTCGGTATGGAAGAAAGAGGAGTTAGAAATAAACGAAGAAGAGTTTAAGAGGTCACACAATGATCTTAGAGCTTTTTGTCTTCTTTTGTTTTTTTTTTTCCTTGTAGGAAACACAACTCAAGATTTGGAGCCAAACAAGAGAATCCAAATCTACAGACGAGAACTGACTTTGTGGAGCATTCTTTCCAAAAAGAGCTAGGCCTAGTTTTCACACTCCTACAAGGTTCATACACCTTCTTACTTGTAAATGGGTAGCCTTGAAGCTACAAACATTTAATGTAATATCTTTGCTCAAAAAAGAACAATGTTGTTATTTCTCTAATTCTTCTACTAAGCCTGAGGACACCTCATTTGAAATGTCTAATTTTGGGAAAAAAATGTTCTGGTTCTACACAATCCACTCAATATAAGAAACCCAGAATGGTAACAATTATATTCCATGGGACATGACCACAAGCAACAGCAGTGTTTTCGAGAAGAAACTGTGGTGGCTCAGCGAGGGTGTCTTGGTTTCTTAACTACATGGAACAAATGTATGTCAATGATGAAGAACTCTGCTCCTTTCCATACTAAAAAACCAGAGATACCAACCATCACCCCAATAAAATGCTCATATTTTTCAGCCTCTCTGCTCTCTATGTATGACCCCTCGTTAAGCCCTCTCCGTTGCTGCCAAGAAGCTACACACTTTGCTGTTAGCATGTCCAGGTTATTTCCTTGGTTTAGTGTGGGCATCACAGTGAGCAGCTTCAACGCTCTTAGCAACACCATTTATCCCTTTGACAATATTTTAATCCATTCGAAGCCTTTAACCAATCCAACATATACTCACAAAGTTGCAAACCAGATTGAAACAGGGGCCCTTGTAGAGGGAGAATATCAAGTTAGTAAAGTAAGCCTCCAGATAATCAGAAGACCATGCTCTGGAACACATTTACATGCGTAAATCACTCCTTCAATTGAAATACGGTCAAGTTTGGAAAAAAGATATGCTTTTGAAGAAGTTCAAGATAAATAGAAAGCATTCAAAGCCTTTCAGGAAAGTTTGCAACCCTTAAGACCACGAAAATTCCTATTACTTCAAAAGCCATTGAATAAAAATAATATGTAAGAATTTTAAAACATGTTTGAGAACAAAATACCATGAGATGCTTGCAACTCTCTCTCTCTCTCT